CTGGTAAAAACATGAAATGATAACAGCAAAAAATTGCAATATGAGCACTAGTAAAAATGGTTGCTGAAGACATTAGGTTTATAATACCCAGAAATTCATACGCAGATGTCCTCAAGGACACATGGCACAGTGGATAAAAAGTGTGAGTTCAATACACGATTAAGGCAGTGGAGAACTTGCAAAGGGAAATTCACAGGAGATAACTGATAACTAGAACAATCATGGCTCTCCTTCTTTTCTCGATGTGTCGTCTCTCTTCAGGACGTGTACGATCATGGCCCTCCACAATTTCCCTGTTTTTTGTAGCTCTTACTAAGGTTTCTGCTCTTTTTATCTCTCCTAATCCCTGTTCTGCCAACTATTCACACAAGCTCTTTATTAGGTTATGCGTTGTTTTACTCTGTCCATCTTGCCTTCGATATGTCCTGTGCGTGTCAAATTTTCTAAGCCCTCTTTCTTCATTAGGTTTCCTAAAAAATTCTACTGTCTCTTTCTGATGTGAATTATAAGTGTCCTTTTTGTTTACATTTCCACCAATGGTATTCTCAACACTGTGTAAATAATTAATTCGTTTCATTTACAGGAAACTATACATATTTAATATATATATACACATGTACACATACACGCGCACGCATCTTTGTGTGTGATAAGGTCTTTGAATTTTATATTGCAAGATATGCGCATAATTTCATATTTCCGCATATACATATATATACTTACATATACATTACCATTTTAATTATATGCATAAATAAATATATGTATGTTTACATAGACATATCCTGGCCTAACCCAATATCAAGGATAGAACATGTACACATTGAGTGGCAACTGTCGTTTTCCTGCATGAACGTAATTTTCGTATATATATATATATATATATATATATATATATTACAATGAATCATTCATACAAAAAGTAGATTAGTAAAGTTAATGATATAAAATTGCGAAATCCTTTTGCAAACAAAATTTTAAAGTTTCATCAACCTATAAATCACTCAATGAATGTTATGATCCTTGTTTTTAATAATTATAAGCTGTGTAAGGTCTTTTTTTAATATGCAGGTACTTTCATCTGTACATTCAGTCATCTTCAGGCATGGAAATTATTTTCTTTTTAGTAAAATCCAGGTTGTATCCGAGACAAGGACCATAACATTCATCGAGTGATTTATAGGATAATGAAACTTAAAAAAATTTCTTTGGGAAAGGATTTTGTCATTTTATATCATTAACTTTACTAATTTACTTTTTTGTATAAATGATTCATTGTAATATAAATTGAACTGCAACACACAGTTTATATATATATATATATATATATATATATATATATATATATATATATATATATATATATATACAACAAGTGAAAGGCATTTCTTTTTAAAAAACACCTTAAAATTAGATATTTTTTTAAGTAAAAGATTTCTGTAACTACAGTTTATTTGCTTTTATTTTGACAAAAAAACAGGAAGTTAACTATAAAAAAAACTCAGCATCATATTTTGTTTTCGTCGATAAAACTGCCCCCCACCTGTTTTAATTACTACTTTACAAATTTTTGCCATTCTTCCCAACAGTTTTTGAAAAAAAGTATATGGCAAACCAAGCATTCTTCAAACACTGGAAAAGCTCACTCTCACTCATTTGGTATTCTCTTTCCTATCCAATTCATCCCATATTAATTCAATGGGAGAGAAGCCAGGAGATTGAGGCAGACATGTCATCATTTCCAAAATATTGTTCCTTTTTTACTTTGTTTAGGATCGTTGACTTGTTGAAAGAAGATTTTTTTCCAATTATGCGTAAACCAAAAATGTTAAAGCATGTCTTTGCAAAATCGATTTTGTTTTGTTTTTTGTTTTTTGTTTTTTTGTTTTGTTTTTTGTCGTTTTTACATGATTTCCTTGACTTGATTCAAATCTCCGGCTCCCTCTCTACAAAAAAAACCATCACACCATCAAAAACCCACCACCATGCTTAACTGTTGGAATCACACATTCATCATGCAGTCTTCTCACATACACTTTCCCATTACCAAAACGTTCAAATTTGAACTCGTCCGTCCACAATACATTTTGGCAATCTCTCAATATTCAGTTCTTATGCTTCGTTGGCCATAGCGATATTTTCTGTTTATTCAACTTCCGTAAAAGGGGTTTTCTTGATTGTTATACGCCCCGCTGAACCCCCGCTGGTCTAAGTCGATTTTTTCACAGTTGAGAGCAAAACTGGTTGCTGTTGAGATGAATTAAATTCAGCTGTTGACTCTGGAGCAGCTTTCCTACTACTTCTTTTGTTTGCAATAATCAAGTGCTTCTCTTCATTACCAGTTGTGACTTTTAAAGTTCCTTCTCTTTTTTGTGCGTCCTGGGTATGACGATAAACTGCATCCACGTCCTGGGTATGAAGATAAACTACATCCGCGTCTTGGGTAAGACGATAAACTACGTCCAACAGCACCCCCAAACCAAGATCTCGTCCTGGGTATGACGATAAACTACATCCGCGTCCTGGGTATGACGATAAACTACGTCCAACAGCAAGGCCTCTGATAAAAAATAATGCTGCCAGCTATACGTTTTTGAAGAAATATTATCATCAGATATACATTTTGGAAAAATAGTATTACCAGCTGTACGTTTTTGAAGAAATATTATCATCAGATATACATTTTGGAAAAATAGTATTACCAGCAGTACGTTTTGGAAAAATAGTATTACCAGCTATACGTTTTTGAGGAAAAAATATTAACAGAAATAGATTTTTGGCAAAACAAACGTATTACCAGGAAAAAAAAGTTGTCGGTATTAAATGAACCATTGAGGTTGATGTGCCGTAAAACAAAACAAACCAAATCTTTTTCTGTCAATATTTGCGCCAATTTCTAACTGTCTTTGTAACGAATATTGCACCCCATATCTGAAAATCTTCATCTTTCACTTTCAGAGTAGCCATCTTTGAATAAAATTTCAATTTGTGCTCTCATCCAAATGTTTTGCAAAATAAGTAGATAACAAACTTTCCCAAGCATTTTTCAAGCTGTGAGAAAAATGTTTAACTTTTGCATCCACAGATTCATCATTCAGTTTTTCTCTTGGATTTCTTCTCATATACATTCTTTTCTCAATACCAAAAGTTCAAATTTGAACTCGTCTGTACACAATACATTTTTACCACTATTTCAATGTCCAGCTCATATGCTTTTGCTTGTAATAGACTTTTCTGTGTCTCCACATACTGTAATATGCGTCTATTGATGGCTGTACACCCGTTAGCCCTGCTTATCTAAGTTGATTTTTGGCAGTTGGAAACACCACTGGTTACTGCCAAGAGAAATTAATTTCAGCTGTCAACTCGAGTGCAGTTTTTCTTCTATTTTTCTTTCTTTTTTTTTTGCTTGCAATAATCAAGTGTTTATCTTCAGAAGCAGTTGTCCCTTTTGATGCCCAGCTCTTTTTCTGTCATCATTTTCGCTGATTTCTAATTGCCTTTGAAAGAATACCGCATCGTATGACGAGAAATGTTCCGTCTCTTGGAAATTTGTCTAAGAAAGTAGCCTTCTTTGAAAAAATATTCACTTGTGCCCGCATCTCAATGCTTAGCTGCCTTGATTTTGCCATTTTGTGCAAATTACTTCAAAATTAAAAAGTAAATTTAAAAAATATGAAAATACTATCGTAAATGACAATCATTTTTTTTCATCAGAGACAGCTACATGTGTTTTGCTATCAATAGTCACTTCTGAGTTAACATTTAAAACCTGTATTAACATTTAACTTAGTTGAATTTTTTTTTGTAATTTCAAAACGTCTAGTGAGGGGTTAAATTTGAAAACAAAATATAATGTTGCTCATACAATATATTCATAAGTTAGCAAAATGTATCGTGGACAGATGAATCAAACTTTTAACCTTTTGGTAGTGAGAGAAGCCTGGAGAAAAACAGAAAAATAAAAGAAAATACATTGGATGTACTGAAATGTTATCTTTTACGTCAAAATACAAAAATATCTCAATTTAAGATGTTTTTTTAAAGATATGCAAGTTGTAACCAAACATTTTGCCTCTAGTAGATATGGATATGTATAAAGTAATATCTGTTCATGTATCTAGCATTGTTTATTTCTTCTGAATTGGCATACATGTTTTTAGCTAAATAAGTGTTCAGTTCGAATTTCCGTGTAGGTTAATCAGAGCTACAAACTCGGGAAGAAGATCGGAGGAGACAACAGCATAAATGTAGAGATTACAAGAGCAAAAACGATGACCTTAGACTTGATGTAAATATTGTGATAGATAGATAGATAGATAGATAGATAGATAGATAGATAGATAGATATGATTAGATTAATATATATATATATATATATATATATATATATATATATATATATATATATATATATATATATGAGAGAGAGAGATAGGATTAGACCGATAGATAGACAGATATGATTAAACTAATAGATAGATAGATAGATAGATAGATATGATTACACTGACGTTCTAATCTCATATTATTTCGAAATGAATATCTCTCTCTCTCTCTCTCTCTCTATATATATATATATATATATATATATATGAAGAAATGTGTGCGTGCGTGCATTAATACTCAATATATTCTCTATATATATATATATATATATATATATATATATATATATATATATATATACGTTATAAAGAGAGAGATAGGATTTGACTGACATAGATAGACATAGATAGATAGACATAGATAGATAGATAGATATGATTACACTGACTTTTAATCTCATATTATTTCGAAATGAATATCTCTCTCTCTCCCTCTGTCTCTATATATATATATATATATATATATATATATATATATATAATATATATATATATATAAGAAAAATCTTAATATATTCTGTAGGTGGGTGTATGAGAAAGAGAGAGCGTATGTGTGTCACCAGCTCTTCACCATTCGAAAAGATTCGAAAAGATTTGATCATTGTTGCCTGAATGGGAGCAATTCCTCATTTACCAGCTGCATCGTTGTATGTGACGTAATCGTAACCATAGCAATATCATCTTCATTCTCCCCCACTCTCCTCTTATTAAATACTTCCCCATCCACTCCCTATACTGTCTCTTTCCTTCTCTTTTTATTTTCCTTCAATTTTTCCACTACTTTCTCACACCAACCCCCTCCTCCCTCTATTTTGAATTGTTCAATCATTTAAGTTTGCTATTGTATCCGCCAATCGGACCCGATTAAAACTCTCTCTCTCTCTCTCTCTCTCTCGAAACCCCTCTTTCTGTTCTCTCCCTACATCTTTCTCTGTTCCCACGATCACTCTCTTTCTATCTATCTATCTATCTATCTATCTATCTATCTATCTATCTGTCTGTCTGTCAAACGGCAAAGTAGACAGAGAAATCGAGACAAGATATCAGAATGCCAACGCAGTCAATTAACAACTTGCTCCTCTTCTACAACACCCTAACATTTCCATGAGCACCAAGGCAAATCTCATCAATGTCATTTTCCTACCAAAGCTGACATACCAGTGCCAGACATGGCCCCTAACAAAACCCTTGAGAGGAAACTGGTCACTTGTGAGGTGAAATGCCTGAGGAAAGCAGTGAACAAGACCAGGCGAGACAAGATCAGGAATGAAGCAATAAGAGATATGGTAGGAGCAATACTAATCATACAACACATCGAACGACAGAGCATCAAGTGATTCAGACACCTCACTCGTACTATCAACCAACCAGCCCTACGAGCATACACCCTCAGGTACTCTGACTAGAGAGCGAGAGGCAGACCAAGAAGACGCTGGAGCGACTCAGTGGCAGACATTCTCAAGGCCCACGAGATATCTCTCCTCAAGGCCGCTCGCCTTGCCACTGACATACGACTGTGTCTCCCAGCGACGCCTAACAGCCCAAGCGGAAGGAAAAAATAATCTATCTATCTATCTATCTATCTATCTATCTTAGTCCCTGTCTATTCATATCTATCTATCTATCTATCTCACTACCTGTCTATTCATATCTATCTATCTATCTATCTATCTCACTACCTGCCTATTCATATCTATCTATCTATCTATCTATCTATCTATCTCACTACCTGCCTATTCATATCTATCTATCTATCTATCTATCTATCTATCTATCTATTATTCTTTTTCAGATGGCTTTCTATAATCTTCATTTTTTCTTTCTCTTCAGACATACATATATATTTTTCTTTCTCTCCTGAATAGCGGCTCAGAATGTGGAACCGGAGAGTCGAGTTCAAATTCCAGTTGAGTTCGTTACATGCACTTACGCGCGAATAACCTGTAGCCGTGGTTGGCAACCAATCTACAACAGAAAAATAATGGTAACCTACTGCGGGGGAACCTTCTGCCTAGTCAGTCATGGATCAAAAGAGACACAATCATCGCCCAAGAGTCTATCACGCATGGTCACTGACTGACTGATATAAAATGCAAATCGGGGACTATTTATTATCTAATTTTTTTTTATTTAGTTTATCCTCCATTTTTACATGATTCTCATAAACAAATATCTCTTTGTATGACTTCTCACTCACTCCCTTTGTCTATGTCACCTCTTGGGTATGCGGGTGTAGAAATGGATAATGGTCCGGTGTTACATTAACTTACATGCAAATACCCTTGGGAAAAGTACTAATCTATCTCCCTCTCCAAGTTATGGGTTAAAGAGTAATTGTATATGGAAAATCAATGTTATTCTAAAAAGAAAATTGTTGATACCCATTAGGAAAAAATTATTATTCTTACAATCCAGTATATGTTTCCACTTTAAATAGCCCACAAAGGGTTGATAAGCCGTCAAAATACAAATCATTTTCACTCCCTAATACATCTGAATAAGGTGTTGTATGTCGAGATCATAATTGTAGATAAACTTTCTGCGTTTTATTTATTGTTCCGTTTTTGTTTAAATATCTACTGTCTCAGTCATTATCAAGAATTGGGTATTGTCAGTGTGGCCGACAAGTTTTATTGACTATATCCCGACGTTTCCATACAACATTGACCAAATGAAAACCTGAGCATAGATAGATAGATAGATAGATATTAACAGACTCAAATAGATAGATAGATAGATAGATAGATAGATAGATAGATAGATAGGATAGAATAGAATAGGATAGAATAGGATAAGATAGATAATGGCGAATCCTTACTATCTTAATATAACTTGTTCTTACTTCTTTTTTTTATTTTAACAAGGAGACTAATCTTTACCGGCCTAGTGATTGAAACTCTTCTTCCAGAGAAGGATCGAACCTTTTAGTCTGGGAAACTGTTTTCACTTCACTGTTTAAAAAAACATGAATGCTTAGTCAAATATAAACGTTTCTATTAATTAAGGAACAATGTCGGACAGATAAATAGAAAGAAAGAAAGAAAGAAAGAAAGAAAGAAAGAAAGAAAGAAAGAAAAAGAAACCGGGACAAATAGAAAGAAAGAAACTGGGATAGATAGAAAGAAACTGAGATAGATAGCTAGATAGATAGCTAGATAGCTAGATAGATAGATAGATAGATAGATAGATAGTATTTATCAATTCACCCACAGGAATTGAATGTGGCACAAGGCCTTTTTAATGTGGGTATGTCTGAGCCCGTAGGCCCAGCAAAAAATAAATAACCATCCAAACCCGCCGAGGCGGGCCAGTTCCGTCAACCTCCCCGAACGAAACCCTACCCTTTGGCAGAGCTTCGTCCGGGTTCCCCTCTGCAAGCAGAGAGTTCGACAGACACTCGACCCGGCAGCTCACAAAGCGCAGATACTACACTTTGATCCTAGTCACCGGGCCGAGCATAGATAGATAGATAGATAGATAGATATGAACAGACTGTGATAGATAGATGGATATGAACAGACTGGGATAGATAGATAGATAGATAGATAGGTAGGTTGGTTGGTTATGGCGAATCCTTACTACTTGAATATAACTTGTCCTTGCTTGTTTGTTTTTTATTTTTATTTTAACAAGGAAACTAATTTTTACCGGCCTAGTGATTGAAAGTCTTCTTAAAGAAAATCTGCCGAGAGGGATCGAACCTTTTAATCTGAGAAACTGTTTTCACTTCACTGTTTAAAAAAACAGGGATGTCTAGTCAAATATAAACGTTTCTATTAATTAAGGAACGATGTCGGATTAAAAGTTCATAAATCGCTTAAAATACATTTCTGAGCGTACGTGAAGGAATGAGAAAGTGCTCAGGAAAAAAAGAAATCAGAATGTCCTTCACTGAAAAGAACAGAAGTAAAGAAGTTCTTTGTCTTTACCAATTCTGTCGTTTCCAGACTTGGAGTCTTTTTGACTTGAGTAGACTTGAAATATTTAAGTGACACTATTTGTCTGGCAACATTTTATGTTACCGTCTATTCTAATCTATTTGCATATTTCGTTTCCTATTTGTATGTTCAAAAAAAAATCAACTCTACATTTTATATTCAAATTGATGCATGAATCAATAAACCCAATTTCTGCTCATAATTAGAATTTCTCTTGACTTGAATATACTTGATACGTTTAAATGTCAGTTACTATTACATAATATATCAGTTTTGTTCAAGAAAAATAGTCTCATATTTGTGGAGATATTTCCTGCCAAGCGATGTATGCTATTTTCTGAGGGCGTAGATTGCACCATCCCCACACTCTTAGATTCATTCTTTAAGTTAATGTTTTCAAAAAAAATTAGTATTAACAAATCGATGTTAGTAATATGTACAAGTTAGATTTATATTCTATTTGTGTTTCTAGATATCTGTTTTATTTACAATAACTTACTTGCTAGTGTGAGGTTTTATTAACCAAACCGATTGTTAGTCAACATAGATAATGGTAGCTATCCGTGCGCCAAAGGCTTAGTGGTAGAATCTCCGACTGACGCCAATTCAGTCGGGTTTCGATCCTACCTAGAGGACGTCTCACCACATTGATGAGCTGTGATGACAATATATATGCTCCTGAAAAATTTATTTTGGTTGAGCTCTCTGAGGGGGAAGTGTGGGTTTGTAAACAGTGACTATTACGGCTAATAATGCAAGACTCTTCGGTAAATCGAATCGAGTTTTCTCAGTCACTGTGTGTTTATTCTAAAAATAAATACGCTTAAATTCACCTTCATCCCTGCCGTGCGCTAACGAATCCCCGACTGACGCCAATTCAGTCAGGTTTCGATCCTAGCTAGAGGCAACCGGACGTCTAGCCACACTGATGAGCTGTGATACAGCGAAACAGTCTGTCTGTGGATGACACTATATATATATATATATATATATATATATATATATAAGGCTCGACAAGTATTTCAAAATAGAAGAGTGGAGTATTGAAACAAATCCAACGAATTACCTAAAAATTCTATCACAACTACAATTTAAAAAAGATAGATAGATAGAAACATTGTTACAACTATTTCTAAAGCAATAAGAGACTTAATACAAAATCAATCTATAATAAGCTAAAACTTGAAAGAGGAATTTACTCTATTTGTAATTATTGCCACGAGGAATACATAGGAGAAACCTCAAGAAATTTAAATAAAAATATATATGAACACAAAAGAGACGTTTTAAAAACAGCTTACTCAATAGATTGAGTCTGATAATAATTTAGATTTGAAAAGATGCTGCTTTAATTAAATAAGAAAGCAATTTACTAAGATGAAAGTTAATCGCTATATCGTCTACTGCAAATTTGCGTGCATGTTCTTACATGATTTCACCTTTCTTGGTAGATTGTCTATTGTTACAATGTGGGATACTTAATGATAGAAGTGATAAAATCAAATTAAAAGCATATGGAAACTGAATGAAATTGGCAAGACTCCATGCCCAGACACCTCTGGAAAAATTAAATTTAAAAGTTTAAAATTTCAGCGTTCCAACAACATCAGCGTTTCCTGTCGTTAGATAATTATAATAGACGCTTGCGTTTGTATATCATCCCTGTTCCTCTGACGCATATAATTCCCCCAACAAAAACATTACTTTGATCTGCTGATGTCCCAAAAAATGAAATGCTTTATAGAGAATTTTTTCCAGTTTTTGATATTTTAGCTTAAAATTGGCTCGGATATATAGAAATATTTACACTATATTCGCCCATAAAATAATATTTATTGGTGTTTAGTTTTGAAAATTTCAGATAAACATTTCGATGAGTCTTAAAAAAAAATAACTCCAAAAGGGAAATAAGATATAGTCAAGTTTCTGAGTGATAGGTACGCTAATTTGAAAATTGGGAAAACGTTAATCTCAGATTACAGAATAATCGAAGATATTGAACTTAACAAGATAAGAAGTAAAATTGGTTTTAAAACTACAAAAAAAAAATATATTTTAAAATTTCTTCTTCTTTTGTGTAGCGTGTCCTTTCAAGGTGTAGGCGATCACGACTCTCCACAACATCTTGCCCTTTGCAGTTCTTAGAAAGACAAGATTTACCAACGATTTACACAAGCGTGTTAGGTAGGTTAATCGCTGCTTTTTTTCTGTCCCACTTGCATTTAATATATCCTGTGAGTGTCATATTCTGCAAACCCTCTTTCCTCATTATCTGCCTTAGAAATCTCAACTCACGCTTTCTGATTCTAAATATAAGTGTCCTTTTTCATTCCATTTTCTTTAAAACTTCCACGTTCCTTTTCCAGTACATAGCATTCTCAGTATCATTCGGTACTCATTTCTTTTGCCTTAAGCTTCTTCTTCATCTGTAAGGAGAGTTTCCAGCACTATATGGATAATAAACATGAAAAGTCGGTTGACTCATGAGGGAATGTATGAAATGATTGTATTGCAAATTTAAACAGAGTGAAAACATTGACAATATTAACTTCACATTAAAGAGTGTAGAAAAAAAAACTGGTGAAGCGAGCGAAAGGGAATAAGGAAAAAGATCTCTTCACAATATTTTAGCGATGAGTTGTAAAGCTAAATTGGATGGACGTGATGGTTGCTTTAAAGTTGGACAACTTAACAGAAACAGTCAATCAAGACAACTTTTAGGAAGAGTATTTGTTGTAGCATACCTACGGACGATAATGGGTTATGTCCCCATTCACATAAATACAGTAGCAAATACTGTATGTTGGTCTGCTGTTGGAGATTCATTGTGGAATTCATTTGACTCACTTCTAGCAGTTGACTACTACTTCTACGCGTCGCTAGCGAATCTTATATGTGTTGTTCTTGTCCTAAGTATTATCGTTCATTACCAACCTTTGTGTGATTATTCTATTCAGAAACCATCCCTACGTTAGAACTATTATTTTCAGTTAGCATTTGAGAGAGTAAAATTATACTTTTCTTCGAAGTTGATGATAGTGTCAAGATAAATTCAGAGAATTATTGTAAGTTCTTGAAGAAAAATATTTCTGAGTGCTAGAGATTATAGCCAAGAATTTTCAAGCTAAAAAGTAAACGTATGCAAGACAATTCCATTTCATATTCTACAAAGTCGATTGTTAACCACAAAAAAGAGAATCTCTAAAGTTATTGGTATTTACGTTGCATCTCGGTGTTCATCACTTTCCCACCGCCATAACATTGCTTTCCTGTGCCTTTTCTTGAAATATTTTACACTGTAATTGTTCTGATTGGCCTACCCCTTTCGTACCTAAGCTTTAAGAATTTAATCACAATACTAGATTAGCGGCAAGATCCAATCATTTTACTGTTGAAGTGGCTAGATGTAACCGTCATTTCTATGCTAGCAGTTTCTTCTCTCGCACTTATCGCTTGTGAAACTTTCTTCTGACTTCTGGCTTTCCAATCAACTTTGATCTTCAAAACATTTAAATGCAATGTCAATCGTTATATTCTGTCTTCTTAATCCCCGTTCTTTTATTGTTCTTAATAGTGTTTTTTTTTTAAATATTCTTTTACACGCGACAACCTCGTGGCTTTATTGCCTTGCTTGGGGTGAAAATGTTTAAAATGTTATGGTTTCGAAGACATCAAATTATCTGGAGGGATTCCCAGTAGCTCGTACCCTAAAGAAATACCAAAGATTTTACTCACAAGTACAGCTCACACACTACGAATAGATTTATCTGTCTCTATCTAGAAAAGGCAGGATATGTGTGTGTGTATGTGTGCGTGTGTGTGTGTGTGTGTGTGTGTGTGTGTGTAACGAATGCACAGCCGCAATTTTCGACGGATTTGCACCAAAATTTACATGCACATGCTCCAAGTTAGCGGGAAGACCAAGACCGACATTGCATTTCCCAACTCCCATCGATAGTGGAAATAATCGATTTTTTCATGCTTCTACGGCAGTTTTCATGTAGTTTGCGGCCATTTTCTACTGGCCAGAGTGAGAGCCAATAGATGGCTGTCACGAATAGGCAGGAAGATTCTATTGGCCAGCATGAGAGCCAATAGCTGACTGACACGAATGTTAACTAGCATGCTAGCATACAAAAAATCGATAGCTTTCATTCGTCACAAGTGGGAAAAATTTAAATCTGCATGGCACTTTACTCCAATTAGCTCATTCGCTTGATTGAACTCAACGTTGATTCTGATTCTGCAGAACTGGGTTGGGTGTGAAAAAGTATTTGTTGTTAACATTCTTTTTTCATTCGGTTTTTCCACTTACGAGTCCTTTTTTTAAAGCTGATCGTTTTCTGTTCATTTTGTTTAGTTCTTTTTTCGTAACAGATTTAATGTTTAGTATAGAGCTTAGAAACAATTCTCAGTGTGAGATAGGCAAGAAGTAAGGTATGTAGCAACATCAGCACGGCAAAGGGCACTCCTTTAAAGGCAAGGAAGGGCAAAAATATGTTAAGTCAAGTGATAGCGATTGCTGTATGAGTCGTACGATTTTTGAATCAAGCACGGCAACGCCGGGCCATGCTGCTAGTGTAAAATACGTGTGATCTTAGGTTGTTTTTTTTTTAGGTTTTTGTTGTTGTTGTTTTTTGGTTTATTTTTTTTTTTTTACAAAAATGATCAATGGAAAATGTCATGAAGCCATTTTTGACCGTTCGTCTCTGGTTGACGTCCGAAAGAAAATTTGTATACAACAGAAATCAAAGGATATAATAATAATAATAATAATAATAATAATAATAATAATATCTGTAATGAGCACCACCCAGACCCGGTTACAGGGATAGTATTATATATATAGTATTAAATGTGTAAGAGTTTTTAGGGGTCAAAATTGCTGGTTCTTTTTCCGTAGTTTACCGGTGGCAAGGCATTTTAGGCGGGTTTTTGTCATGAAGTGTTCGATATCAAATTGTAAGGATAGAGCGTTAATAGAATTAACGTGGAGAAACATATCACTTAACTGAGTGGTGTTATATATATATATATATATATATATATATATATAGTACAGGTAATAGATTCGTTGGTATATAATCCAGGTGTATCCTAGTAATATCAGATACTAAAATTGATCCCTTTGATTATAACAGAGCATATATATTATACAGTAAAATCCAAAATTACCTTATGTAGGTATAGTCTTTTTCAAACCGGCACAACATTAAGTTTGTGCCTGTTAGAAATAGACTATACCCACGTGCAATAATTTTCGATTTTTTGCTGTATAATATATATATATATATATATGTGTGTGTGTATGTGTGTATGTGTGGGGGGGGAGAGAGAAAAGTGATAGAGTGTAATAATATGGCTTAGATATTAAATGAAACTATGCAAGGGACAGCTTCAACCCTATCTGGATACAAGTTTCATCGTTAAGGAAGATTGTTATTCGTACTTAAGGGAAAGGCGTTTGCTTATTTATACACTTTTCTCCATGCAAAATTCTGGTATTTTTCAAGAACGCTGGTGATGGGAGTAAACACAGGAAAATGTGGATTCATGCCTTTCACAATTCATGTTAAATGAACATAAACATGGTTTGCCAGTGTTATTTTCCGTGATTCCGTTACACTATAATACCAACGAAATACACAATAAAATACACAAAAAAAGGAAAACAGAAATTATGAAATCAATTTATCCAAAAATACCGGAAGTAATATCAATCACTAGTTATACCACGTGACCATTTTGAAATGCATGAAATGTTGTCGCTCCGCCTCACTAACCAATGGGCGGCAGATGTCAACTCGTCAACGTTACACGCGGGAGGGCCATGGTCTCCTGGCGACAGTTATGGCAACTGGCGCGGCACTCCTTGCAATGTGGCGGTTCAAGAGGAGAGCAATCAAACAAAAGAAGCATGTCGTGTTTTCAAATTGACGAAGAATGAAAATGACATGTTGCTTGATTAGGTTTTTGTGACGACGGCAGCATTCTTCATCATTTGTTGAAAAGATTTTATTTTCAGATGAGCTGAGAGCAAAATACGACTGAACACACTTGAAAACAAAATCACGCAAACACAAATTATGTCCGCAATAATATAAATAAGGTTTATTTAAATCAGTTTGGAACAAGGCCACGGGAGTTGACCACTTGATAAAGATCGCGCCCTCTTGAGAGGGAAATAAAATGGACTGATACTATAATTTTATAAAATTTACATTCAGCCTGGTATAAAGCCATACCACCATAAATGATAATGATAATATTAGCCGTTTCCCTACAAGGAAACATTCGGCATTCATAGACCCAGAAGCCAGTAGTGCCTTCAGTTGAAATTCATAAGTTCGTTCCGCCCTGTCGGCTGTGGCTGTAGAATACTTCGACTGTACCTCCGCCATGAAGTAAGAACCCCACCCAACACCGGGTGTCCTGGGTGAGACGATAAACTAAAGGCCTTTCAAATATATATGTTTTATTTGAGGTCTGGAGGAGTTTGTTTAAACAAGCGTTCAAGATAATGGCCCTCATAAAAGAATATCAAACAGGCGTAAACTTTTCGGTGATAATTCTTTATTGAGGTACTGAATGTAACAAGCCAATTTTTCAGAGTTTGGTCAGAGGAGAGGTCAAAATACCATTTTCTGCTCGTTTAGATTTTTGGATGGGGAGTTATCATCATTATACGTTTTGCTGTTCGGATCACTACGTTCATCTTCGTTATTGTACTTACGTTTCAGGTGCACCCCATCAAGCTTCAAATATTAGGTTTAAGGATCTATAATTTCAACAAGATTTCAATGGTAAGTCACATGGTGCATGAAATAGTGTATGAAAGCGCTGGTTAATAAAAATCAGGTTTCCTGTCAACTTTGAGTTCAATTCTTGGTCTGGCACAATTCTTAATAGGAAGGTTAAGAATATCAATCCAAAGGGCGTCGCGAAGTAAATTCCAATCAGGATGCTTGTGTCGGAAGGAAGTCTTGCGACTCTGTCTAATAGATTACCGAAACGATATATCTACATATACTACAGCGTGATCCGAATTGCCAAGAGGATAGAGTTCCGACGATACTAATCAGGTCCCCTATCAATTCTGAGTTCAATTCTTCGGTCTGGTAGTACTGAAGAACCACATATTCTGTTTCAATGCAAGAAGCAAACAAGCGTTCAAATGTGAATAAAACTAGTGAGTTCTAATAGGAAATATCTCCTAAGCATAGAAAATTGAATGAGTTCAATCTACCCTCGTAAATTTAATAAAGTGTTCTGTTCGAGATTACACGAAGGTCACCAAGTACAAAGATAGACACCCGAAGTTCAGAACATTTTGTGCGTAACAACGGAGATGGCCATGTCATTTTAACTACTAAAACCATAGCATTTCTGGGTTGTTTTTTTTTATATAGGAGAAGTGCTTCTCTTACGCCTCTTTAGTCTGTCTTTATAGTCCTGCCATTCATTTACTCAAGGTTAAGTGTGTTGATCAGTTTCCTTATGTGTCTCTTGCCTTGTTAGTATTAATCTCTGTTATATACCGTACCTATGAACACTAATCGGTACGTTCCAATCCTCATAAATACGTTGGACACTATTTTAAATGGGGGCAATATGCTACCTAAACTGATAGTGTGAGCTGTCAGCGTGGGAAGCTCTTGCCGTGTCGAACTCTCTGCCTTTGGACAGAGAGGAACCCGGACGAGGCTATGCCGAAGGGCAGAGTCCCGTCCGGGGAGGTAGACAAATACCCGATTCTGCGTATATGGGGTCTACGGGCAATTTTGGCCTGAGCCCACGGGCTCGGATTTCCCCACATTAAATTTGGCCTTGTGCCGTATTCTACCTTGTGGGGAGGCAAGTAAATATCGTAATATGCTGTCAAAGTAGTTCACAACTAGTAGTGGTTTACCTATTTCATGCTGCTAGCAAGTATTGTATTTTGTTGATGTTATAAAGATTACCATTTCATTTTGTTGTGGATTCCGAGATGAAATTCGGTCTCCAATGAATGACAAACGCAGGAATTAAAGATAAGAAATTAAATGTATTTACACAATAATACAATGGGTAATACTGTTAGTAAATCCAGGAACGCGATTAGTAGCAATAATATATATATATATATATATATATATATATATATATATATATATATATATATATATATATATATATATACAGTCTCGAAGTAGGACTTCCTTAGAGTCTACGTGCTTGTAACTGTGACTTCTACAAGCGGTTACCTCACACTATTACTCTACCTCCAACTCAATCACAATCTCTGCTCTCTTTATGTTCTGACTGACTCTGGGTATTTAACGGCAGCAGTCCAAGTAACACTCTGGTCGAGTCCACTTATATGAAAAAGGGGAGGACACCATAACACATTTCGAACCTCCGTTTTGGTTATTCCTCATTCAGAAACCTTTTCTAGGTTACAACATTCTCCAAGCTTTCTTTCCTCATTGCGTCTTACAGAAACATCAGTTGTCTTTTTTATGATAACTAGCAGCAGCTTCCTTGCACTTCATAGTCGCCTCTTGACGAATTTCACTGACCGAAAAGAAGACAGTCGAATGTATTTTTAAACAGAGCACTCATGGATTAATAGTATTACCTGCGTTCGTTTTTGGAACCAACAAAAGTAGCTTTCTTTTTCCGTGTCTCCATAGCTTAAAGTACGTGGCTGGGGGTGTAAAAGTGCACCAAGGAAAAGGAAAAGCAAAGTGCATGTCTGTGGGGTCGTGATTAGCAAGACAAGAAAGGTAATGATGATGAAATGGATAAAACTGTTTTTCAAGTCCTTTTGTTAAGACCAGTGCCAAGCGGCTGTGGCGTGGGGGTGAGTATATAACGTCTGAGAGGCTGGTCGAGGAATTCAGTTCATGATTAACCCATTTTGAAACATTAGAGTTTTACACAAATAGATCGAAGCTTTACTATATTCGGAACGAAACCCGGAAAAACAGAGATAAAAAAAAAACTGAAGTACCTATTAATCTTTTAACCACCGTTCAAGTGTCAGTGGAAGGAATGACGTCACATTTCCATAGCAACGAAACGACAAAGCAACTGTCTCTCCATTCTCAAAACTTTGAAGCCAGATGATGGCGTTACATAGTAACTGAGTGACCAACCATGACAAAATTTAAATAAATGCTATTCTCTACATACAACGTGTGAAAGCACGTGCGATACCCTACCCGCGTCAGCTGCCAAACAAGGGAGGTAACACATTTTCGGTAGCTAAGGCGGTTACTTCCACCCCTGGCGCCACCAGCAGCTTTTGTCACCAGAGTATTGTTTTTTGTTTTGTTTTGTTTTTTTTTTTTATATATATACGTGTCAGCCTCTTGCGATTTCTTTTAACAAGTTCAACTGTGATTTTCAACGATGTGTTAAAATACCATAACATTTCAACTTTATGTCAAACACTCTTGAGATAGCCTAAGCAACAGCCCGTGCTTCACCATATTTATCTAAAACTTGATAGACTCGTTCAGCTATAATCTTTAGTGCATCATCAGTTAACCTAGAGAAATGAAAGCTATATTGCTTGTCGGAAAGAAGGCCCTACGATGTGAGATGCTTAACCAATTCAGAGTTGATAAGGGCCCTCAGTTCTTTGCCAAAGAGCGGTAGAAGGTTAATAGGTCGATAGATCGAAGGTTCAGACGGTTCACCTGATTTCTTAGACTGGAATAACAGAGGAGGATTTCGAACTAGCTGGAAAGCAAGAGGCAGTGAGGCATTTGTTGTACAGTTTAGAGAGAATAGGAACCAATTCAGGAGCCCGTTTTTTGAGGACTATTACAGGGATGACATCAGGTCCACGTGCTTTGTGGGAATCCAGAGTAGGGATGATAGCAGAAAGCATAGGGGTTATATGCATATCACTCAACAGGGACTCAGTTCAAAGTGAAAAGTCAGGCAGGGATACTCCAGATGAGTCAAGAGTAGAGTTTGGGGAGAATTTTCGCGCAATTTAGATTTATCTTCTCGGGTTCTCCTGACCGCTCCTTCCAACTATCTCTATCAAGCATCGCTGTCGGCAGGTCCTCCAGATGGCATCAAGAATCATCTGCATGTTGGTCAATGTAGGTGTGATGAGGTCTGCCAACCGATCTTTTGCCGGGCAATGGGTTCCATAGGAGGGCGTCACTCACAAGTTCTGACTTACTTCGCGAGGAGTGACCAGATAGCCGAAGCCTTCTCTCTCTTAGCGAAATTGAGATAGGAGGAAGGTGTCCATGTAGGCGTTTCTTTGTTGGGTGTTTCGTCCAGCTGATGTCCAATACAACTCGGAACATCCTTGTGTATGTTCCATAAAATGATGCTTCTTGGTGTTTCGTCAGTATCCATGTTGTTTAGCCATAGAGCAGGACCGTCGCCTTAAAGAAGTCCCTCTTAAGATTGTCAGAGGGGGAGGACTTCGGGGTGGTTAAACATAAGAAAACATAAGAAAAAATTAATTCCTTTAAATAATATGCAAAAATAACCATTCTTCGAGTGAATAAGAGAAAGAACATGTTACATATTCGATATATGATTGAACTAGCAGCATGGCCCGGCGTTGCCCGTGCTTGATTAAAAAATCGTACGACTCATACAGCAATCGCTATCACTTGACTTAAAATATTTTTGCCCTTCCTTGCCTTTAAAGAAGTGTCCTTTGCCGTGCTGATGTTGTTACATGCCTTACTTCTTGCCTATCTCACACTGAGAATTGTTTCTAAGCTCTATACTAAACATTAAATCTGTTACTAAAAATAGAACTAAACAAAATGAACACAAAACGATCAGCTTTAAAAAAAAGGACTCGTAACTGGAAAAATCGAATGAAAAAAGAATGTTAACAACAAATACTTTTTCACACCCAACCCAGTTCTGCAGAATCAGAATCAACGTTGAGTTTAAGCAAGCGAATGAGCCAATTAGAGTAAAGTGCCATGCAGATTTAAATTTTTCCCACTTGTGACGAATGCAGCTATCGATTTTTTTTTTTGCATGCTAGCATGCTAGTTAACATTCGTGTCAGTCAGCTGTTGGCTCTCACGCTGGCCAATAGAATCTTCTGCCTATTCGTGGCAGCCAGCTATTGGCTCTCACTCTGGCCAGTAGAAAATGGCCGCAAACTACATGAAAACTGCCGTAGAAGCATGAAAAAATCGATTATTTCCACTATCGATGGGAGTTGGGAAATGCAAAGTCGGTCGTGGCATTCCCGCTAACTTGGAGCATGTGCATGTAAATTTTGGTGCAAATCCGTCGAAAATTGCGGCCGTGCATTCGTTACACACACACACACATATCCTGCCTTTTATAGATATAGATAACTGATGGTATCTAATGTGGGGATATTCAGACGCAGATGATACCGCAAACATAAATATTTAAGCATACGACACATATCTAACCAGAGCTATTTCACTTCTCTGAAGTAACAGGTGTAATATTCAGGGCAACAACCATACATGCTGACAAATTCGAATTATCATTTATCCATTTAACAAACATAATTTTCAGTTGGTCACAACAGCGAGAGATCACCATTTCTCATCGAAATACATTCTTATTGTTAAAAGTAGAGTCCAATAAGGCTATAAAGAACCTCGGAGAATTCCAGTAAGATATCTTTAATCATTTCTAAGATGCAACGGTCAAAGCTTAATCTAATAATTGGACAATTTTGCTGTTACATGATTTGAACAATTATGGTATTACCCCCAGTATATATATATATATATATATATATATATATATATACTTAATATAAACGAACTGTGTTGGTGCGACTAACAGACAACTTACCAAAAGACCTAATACTTTATGCAAGGATATATATATATATATATATATATATATATATATATATATATATATATATATATATATATATAGCGAAAAGAGAAGCCGCAAACGTTTTTTTGGTTAAAATGTGGATTTTATTAACATATATTATACTTTATTTTCCATATTTTTTTACTACACGTGTTTCGAGTCTTGTGATTTCAGCAGACGAAGAACAGATTATTTAAAAGATTTTTTTTCTTATGTTTTTTTATATTTAATCATTGTCTTTTGTGTGTAGTAGTAAAGCCAAATTCTTCTTAGATATAATATATATATATATATATATATATATATATATATATATATATATGAAGAAATATAGTCTTAAGGTGTGCTATATTTATGGGATAAAGCGCTCAATATCAGGCCACCGATTGCATCTGGCATGAAACAGACTGTCGCCTCTAAGTGTTGACTTTATATATATATATATATATATATATATATATATATATATATATATATATATATATATATATAAACCAGTGGGCAAAGGTTTTTGGCTTCCAATATAAATAGATGGCGTGATAGATATCTTGATACCCTCGTAAGTGAGTCGTTAATTAAATCGACAGTTTTAAAATTATCTATAAATAGCTGCCTATAGATAAGCTACAGTTAACGAGATGGCTTATTTTCAGTGATTAGAGGGGGGGGGCGTAAAACCTCAAATAAGTCTAAAAAAGAAAAAGAGAATCAGAATGAGGCAACCCGGAAATAGAGGAAGTGTTTGTCTAAAAAGTAACCCCGATAAGGAAAAGAAGGAGGAAGAGTTTGTATGGTAGCCGTGACAGATAATAATCTTGATTCTTTTGTCTTTGAACTGTTCAGCTAATGTCGAGCAATACGAGGTTTGTTTTTGTTTTTTTCAAAGTGATGTTTACCATACAAAGAAAACGTTGACAGAAAGAAATAAAAATTAAACTCCGGAAAGCAGAGAAGATATATTTTTTTTAAATTTGTCGTTATTGTTAATGAGTGTGCTTGTATGGATGGGTGGGTGGCTGAGGTGAGTCGATGGAAGGTTGGCCTGCGTACTTGAAAGGATGGAGTGAGTTTTGTGGTTTCAGCTGTGTTTATTCGAATCAATATTAAATTGAAATCCAAGATTCAAATAAATAAAGTGATAGAAAAAGGAAACAGTTCGATAACAGGAGTGGGAGTGAGTGAGAAGGAGAAGAGGAAAAAAAGAGATAAAGGAAATAGAGTAAGGAAAAGAAAGAAAGAAAGAGGAAATGAGAAAAAGAGAAAGACTAAAGGTAAAAGGAGAAAAAGAGGGAAAGCGGAAAAGGGAAAAAGAAAAAAGAAAGGAAGGAAATAGAGAAAGTGAAAAAGAAAGAAAGAAAGAAAGAAAGAAATAGAAAAGAAAGTAACAGAAAAGAATGAAATAGAAAAAATGGAGAAAAAGAAAAAAGAAAGATTGAATGAGTCGTTTTTACGGCTTATCAACCCGCTTTAGTTTATTTAAAGCCAGAAAATATTTTAGATTGTAAGACATTTTAGATAATAATGATTTAGTGGAGGATAAGTAGTGGATTCATGCCTTTCCCAAATTAGAAAGAAAGAAAGAAAGAAAGAAAGAAAGAAAGAAAGGAAGAAAGAAAATGAAAGCAGAAAAAGGAAGATATAGAAATTATGTTTGGGAATAAATGAAAGACGCGAAAGAAAAGAGAGTAAAAATTGAGAAGGAAAGATCCCTGAAGAAAATTAATATTTGCCTGTCATAAAAGGCTCCAAAGATGAACACTCTCGTAAAGTCAAATCTCGCTAATAGCTAATAATCACCTGTTCGACTAAACTGTTGATTGAAATTACAATTCTTTATTAAGAACTGGGAGGTGCTGAAAAGTCATCGACCCTTTTGTTAAAATTTGATCAAATAACCAAACATCATTTTGGAGAATTACTTTTGGTCGGTCAGGTAGCTTTGCGGATAAGCAGAAGTTCTGCACTATGTGAACATAGATGATGCATGCACACACAAAAGGAGATAAGTATCGCTGATTTTTTTCTTCTTTTTTTTTATCATGTTCTGCATGGATATATAAATATAAAATGAAAGAGAAAGATATTAAGTGAAGGTATGGATAGTGTAGCGGAAAGTTAATTCGGCGTGATGAGTTCCTATTCCTCTGCGGTTATGTTTCGTTTACTCCGTGATAATACCTCAAAAGAAGCCATGAATTCGCTTTCCTTCAGCTAAAGGTAAAATAATAGAGTAGATTTGGCTCTCTTTCCTTAAGTTGGAAACCCGTTCAGGAGGAAAATCTGCTCTCGTCAAGTCTATTCAAACAAAAAGAAATTTGGAAAAACTAAAATTATTTAAAAAAATATTGTTTGCTTATTTTTACTTCTGTTCATTTTAATGAAGAACTTTCTGATTTATTTGAAAAATTCACACGCACACAAACTGTTTCATGTCGACGTTTGGGGTGAACCCAACTCAAATACACGAATTTCCGGGAGCATGTTCTTCGTTTCGAAAAGGTGGTGCCATACCTTTAGCTACCTCCCCATGTGTCCTTTATGCCAGTGACAACACCTGGAGCCTTTGGGAAATTGCAGGGGCCCTCTGTCGACATTCTATCTGTCCACTGTGGCCATTTTAGATAAAGGGCCTAAAAGAGCTTTCTTGTGGTTGGAAATGTCCTTTTCTAGTTCCTTTCTGTCCACTATAGCATCCGGGCCGGGAAAATATTTCTTCTTTTCCCTGGTGGGATGAGGCGGGAAATAAGTGGATGATGAGAGGGAGTAGACATTGAACTGAGGTAAGAGGTGGAAGGATACGGGGACGGAGATAGAGCAGGTGAAGGGGGAGAATCCTTCTTTTCGGCAAGACAACTGCGTCTGAAATTTCTTTTGTCGAAGCAGGAACAGGTAGATTGTTCTAGCCCCACGTGCCATGCCTCTTCCGGGTGTCTCAGTTATTTCCCCTTTAACTCGACTCTCCAAGTTTTTTGGTTCATCACTGCTGTGGCCTGGTATTGAACTCACAACGCTTTGAGTCTAGTCACTGGATCTAACTAACGCCTTTATCCACTGGGCTATGTGTCCTTGAGCAATTTACTCCAGTGGACGAAATAAAGAGTTCGGTTCCAAACTCCAATCACCTGAAGAATACTGGAGCGTACAACAGCCGAAACGTTGTGAATATGGCAATGAAGATGAGGATAATAGTCCGAATAATGTAAATAATGTAAATAAAAGGTAGATTTAATTGGATAAAAATACTGTTTGATTAAAAAACATGGCTTCTACTCGAATATATCAATCAAAAATAATGTTTAAACAAAATAAATTAAAAATAAGATAATGTTGGATTTGATCCATTTCCTAAAAATAAAATCATAAGTAAAACACTTTATAAAAAAAAAATAAGAATGAAGATTCTTGTCGAATATTATTTACACCTGTCAGATCTCTTATATCGAAACCGAATCCTGTAACTGGACTGTAGTTGTAAAGAAAAAAAATAACTGGCGACTTATATCAACAATAAACGTTGGCAATAGATTTCTTCTGTCTCTCGAACGCAACACTTGTAGCCAAATCCCAGTTCAAACGATAGTCCGTCGTAACAGTCCAACAGGCAACGTAGAAACGACAAAATGGGGTCACAAACCCAACGTTCACTTCTCAACCAGCAAAAACGCGTGTTCGTTTACCAAGCTCAGAAAGTCAAATCTGTCCGCATAAGCGAAAAACAACGGCTTTTATTCCCCGAGAGATCTTTCTGATTGGCCATGCCATTCAGGGGAGGTAAGAACATTAGCATAGATTCTGGTCCTTAAAGTAGATTTTTGCTAACTACTTTTCGGTAATTTTTCTTCGGCAGATCGCACACAAAATACGAACGCTTTTTCGACGTAGCTGATTATCTCTTTCACTACATGGACAAACATTTTATTGGCCTTTACTCTGCTACGCTAAAAATGAATATTCGAGACATGAGAGTATATCAAATACCCCTTTTGCTTAAAAAATATCTTCTGGCTGTCTTATATGTTAAAATAAAGTTTCTATTTTTATGTAAACTAATGTTTACACAGATAAAATAATCTAACCTAATATGCAAGTAGCCTAATTTCCTCATGTTGCGTGTAAATAGGGATGGTAAATATGACATCGAATAGGTCAATGCAACCATTATGCAAACAGTGCTGAGGTGAAGGTAGGTAATAGGGAAGCAAATAAAACAAATGTAATTTCTGTCTACGTAAAGTACAGAAACTTCATCATTTACGTCTTGACATCGAATTATTTTTGTAAGCAAGCAAAGGAGCAGGTGAATGTCACCTAAAAATCGAATTTATTCTTACGGAAATTCTTGAACTATTGAGGAAAATATCAGATTAAAAAAATGAGCGAAAACCAAAAAAAAATGAGATAGTTATCGAAACAATACACTGTATATGACGCTAATTCGCATTTTTTTGTTCCCAGTAAATAATGATTGCTGAAGTCATAACATCGTTAAACATACGAAGAGAATTCGGAACAATAAAATGTTTCTTATTTGTTGCACCTTTTAGATCGAAAATCTTTTTATAATTACGTATATTTTATTAATCGATTATTCACTTGATTATTTTTTATCCACACTTGTTTTGAGATGCTGATAAAAAAGAAAGGCTTTATTATTGCGTATTTTATTAGTTTCGAATTTTCTTTTCTTTTTTTTGCGGGGGACAAATTTTAGCTGATCTACTCTTTATCCATTGAATTTGGCCTTTACCTCATTTTCTTTATTTCTTTATTTATTCTATTATAATTATTTTTACTTTTACCTCATTTTCCTTAGTTCTTTTATTTATTTATTTTATTCTACTTTTACCTCAATTGCTTTCTTTCTTTCTTTTTCTTTAGATTTCTTCTTTCTTTCTTCGTTTCTTTCTTACTATTTCCTTTCTTTCTTTCTTTAGTAATATTATATTTTATTTTTAATTCTTTTTCCGAATATCTTCTTATTGATTCTGTCATTTCTTTTTTCTTAATATATTACCATTCCTTCTTTTTTTTTTTTATCATCATCTCATCTTTCTTCCTTTCTTTCTTCCACATTATTTCTCCCCCTTCCTCTTATTTAAAATTCTTCTTCGTGTGCTCTTTGTTTTCCTTTCCTCTTCTTCATCGTTTTCTTCTTCTTTCTTTCTTTCTTTCTTTCTTTTCTCTTCCAATCTTTTTTCTTCTTCCTCCTATTCTTTCTTCACATCTTCCCGGGCTTCCGCTTAATGAAGCAATTCCAAAAGTTACAAAGTAAAAATGAACTAAACGAAACATCTCACCAGTTACCTAATGAAGGCCACGATTTCACATTGATACCCCGCAACACACACTGCCAATAACCTTCATTTCCCCAAACTGTTTCACGGTTAGAACGAGGCACGCAACTCAACCACAAATTTAGCTAAGAATATGGCGGTATTAGATGCATAGACAGACAACACACACGAATATTCCATTAACTTTGCTCTGTGCAATAATACAGAACAGCGGGACTTCAAACACAAGCAAATGGGGCTTAAAAGTATTTCGATACGAAAAAATGACACTCCTAGGCTGTTTTATGCGCCCCCCCACTTAGCAATAATACTTTGTCACCGTTTTCTGCTGCCATCATGGTGGCTATTATTCGCAATTCCATCTTTGCTGTCTCTATTTCTGTTACGTGAGTTTTGCCCAACGAAGATTAACGATATTACCTTTCTAGATAGGACTTCATGTTCTCTCTTGGGATGTTCATCTGAAGAAGACAGGTAAGAATGGATTCTTTTACTTGATCTGCGAATGTCTAAAATAATTCTCATGGAGCAGGCAAGAACAATTCTTTATCCGAGATATTACACTTACAGGTCCAATCTACCCTACCGGAGATATACAACTAGGGTTTCATATTATAGGAATAGTAATGTTAATGGTAATATTAGCTGTTTCCTTATAAAGGAACATTCGACATTCATCGACCTAACAGCCTACTGCCGATTGAAATTTATAAAATCTTTCTCTTTTCCAGAAAATAGGTTTCTTGAGTTTACTTTTATCTCTCTTTCAAATATTCATGCGGTTTCCTTCCTCACCTTTTGTTCGAAGTAGTGTGGAACGTCAACATCTTGATTATGTTATTATTTTCTCTTTGTGTTACATGTGCTGTCCATTTTAGTTCTGTCGAAAGTCCTCATTTGATGTCGTTTCTACTATTTGGTAAAGTTTTTATTTTACTTTTTTTCGGGATTCTGTAGCGCCAATCTTCGAGGTTTTAAGTACGATAGTCCTCTCTCAGAATAAACTTTATTATAAGAAATTCGTTTAATTTTTCTGCGGGAATTAAAATGAACGAATATTTGAGTTACTTTTAAATTTACTTGCGAATAATAGCCACCGTGATGGCAGCAGAAAACGGCGACAAAGAAGTATTTATTTATTTGCTTTTTACGGGTTATCAAAACTTTGGGCTTTATTTAAAGCCGAAATATTTCGAATCGAAACAATGTTTTTTGTCAGTGAATATTGCAAAAGCAATTTTTTCAGAATAACAATGATTTTTTTTTCAAATATGTCCCACTATTTAAGACATAATCCAAGGGTATTTGCGCGTAAGTAAATGTAACGAAAACCAAACTGGAATTCAAACTCGGCTAACAGAGATTCTTCACTCCGAAGTGTTATTCGAAAAAGTATTCGGAGAGCTAAACAGAATATTAAGAAACGGGAAAATCTTGTTTGAAACAAAGAAAAGAATACTGAACTGTTATGTAATAACAGTCTTTCTGTATGGCAGTGAATACTGGAAAATCTCCTTACAGATGGAGAAGAAACTAGAAGCAACAGAAATACGGTTCTACAGAAGGATACTGAGAATAACATAGACCGAACAGGTGAACAACGAGAGAAAATGAAAACAAAATTTAAACTTACACTTAATATCAGAAAAATACCAAGTATTGACATTTCTAGGGCACATAATAAGGAAAGGGGGCTTGGAAAATCTGAAACTCACAGGACAGATTGAAGGCAAGAAGAACAGAAGAAAAGAACACGTAACTTACCAAGAGAATTTGTGCAAATGGATTGCAGAATAGGGTTTAGAAGAGATAGCAAATGTATTTAGAGTTATAAATGACAGGAAATCGTGGATATCCATTATTGCCAACGTCCTGGAGGGGCATAGCACATAGGAGGAGAATATTAAACTTTTCACCCTTCCTTTGTTTTGCCCTGTCGCAAATGTATGCGCAATTGCACATTAAATATTGCCACAATTTCGTTCTTTCTTGTCTTGAACGCTACAATCACTTGACTTGTTTGTGAACACAGTTATTATTACTTTGCGAACTTTTTGCCTTATTAATGTTGCTTTTTGCCTTATTAATGTTGCTTTGCCTAATTTTGTCTTCCATATATATTTTTTGCTGTGTGTTAATTCGCCTTGTTCTTTTTTTTTCATTTTCAAATAAGAAAAATTTTTTTTTAAATTTATCAAAGAATGGTACATGGTATTTCTGGAAAGTATCGAAAAGAACAATAGAACATTTTCTTCTATGTGCTGTGACTCTTCAGGAGGTTGACGATCATGACTCTCCACCATTTCCTGTCCTTTCTAGATCTTAATAAATCTTGTATTTTTCGTTATTTCGCTTAAACGCTTTTCTGTCACGATTTTACACATTGTTTATTGAGAACTTTGTCAATTTCTTTTGTTGTGCATTTTGCAAATTACACATGATCATAGTCAATTACTCCACAAACGCGATAGATTTGTAACTTTTCCCAAGTGTATTTGCGTGTATTTGCGACTGGAATTCGAACTCGGCTCGCTGAGTTCGAATTCCACCATCATCTACGAGATTGCAGCCTTCCTTACCATTGTCAGCAAACAACGTGCTAAGAATAATAATTGATTTTAAAAAATTGTTGCTTTCAATTAATGAGGGAAATATTTTTGAAACCAGGTGCACATCTCCAATGTGCTGTGCAAGAATTTAATTGCGGGAATCAACACCTGCTCTCAATTGCATTAATTATCTTACCGTTAAGAGTAAAAAACAGTTGGAAGAAGTCAGAAAAAATCGTGTAGATTATTCGAGAAATCAAAGATCAAAATAAAGTCATAACATTAATTATAATTTTTTGAAAAGAAAACTAAAATATCGATCTATTAATGGACAGCAATAAGTTTAAATATCAAAGTGCTGCTGCTGCTGCTTAGAGCCATGAACACGTTGAGCCCACGTGAGGCACCTTGTTCCTCCCACTCTCACGGTCTTGGCATAGCGTCGGCACATCCTCCACCGACAATTCTACTCCAACAGTTTATTTTCTCACCTGTGATGATTTCCGGCTTCCCTGATAAATACAATCTTCAAAAATTGAAACGTAACGTCAATCGCCATCTTCTGTCTTATTGAACCCTCTTCCTTTATTGTTCGTTCCTCAAACATCCCAACTAAAATCTTCTTTCTCTCCCACACATGCATACATACACACGCACATACACATACATTATCATCTGAATCCCGTATAGACAAACTAGAATTAAAATACACTTACAGATATAAATTATGCACTAGAACAATTACGACTGAGTAGTGAGTTTGTTCCACACTGAGTGCCCCATACTTTCGAAATTGTGGCACATTTGAGCTACGCTTAGAAAATCGCCATGAATTATGCACACGAACGCTGCTTGACTAGTCAAATTCATGTGAAGTGTGCTTAACCAACAGAAATCAAACAACATAACATTAAAAATACTAGTAATTTTTGCCATAACTCATTCCCTGATGAAGCTTGAATAGAAGCGAAACATATTGATTTATAAGCGTTTCCCATTTGTTCATTATCCTATCATATATATATATATATATATATCAAAGTATATAATTGGTATATACGGAATGAATTCCAATAACCAACAATTACTATTCTTAAAAGAGTGCTCAATACAAAAGTAGAGCAGATATAATTATTTTTTATAAAAAAAATTATAACATAAGTATGTTATAAAATCACTACAAAAATAGCCATTTTGTTTCAACACACTCTGTGTCTTATCAAGTGATGATGTTGAAAAGAAAATAAATGGTTTTTCTTTTCAACATCATCACTTTTTATTTTCTTTTCAACATCATCACTTGATAAGACACAGAGTGTGTTGAAACAAAATGGCTATTTTTGTAGTGATTTTATAACATACTTATGTTATAATTTTTTTATAAAAAAATAATATATATATATATATATATATATATATATATATATATATATATGTTAATATATATGTTTATATATACTACTACTAATAATAATAACATTTACATGTTGTTCCTCACCGTATATATATATATATATATATATATATATATATATATATACTACTACTATAATAATAATAATAATAATATATATACATTTTGTTCCTCACCGTATATATATATATATATACGTAAATGTTACAAAGTGGAAAATGTTTTGGTGTGACGCGTTTTGTCCGTTCGGACTTCATTCAGATTACGTTGATGTTCATGTGACTACACATGCACACGTAGGAGAGACGTTTGGAATTTAAAATTCATTTTTTATATGCGTTTTGGTTATATAATTTAGTCGATTTCACTTTTTCCTTTTATTAACGTTTTCCATCACTTTTGTTATTAAATATTCCACATGTCGATAACAAACGATCAGTGAAAACTGGCAGGAACGTTTTAAGAACCTGAACACAAATTTACTGTGGATAAACTAACGATTAAAGCACTTTCTAAATATGCTCTTCTTTGTTTTCTCTTTTACTTAGTGTAGCATTTTTAAATAAAAAATTTGGTCAGTTTCCATACGGTGAGCAACTAATACATTTAATGTGTTGTTTTGTAAAATGTCCCTTTTATGTTCATATAATCTTTTATTTAAATGTTTTATTTAATGTTTCTCCGATGTATTCCTTGTGGCAATTATTACAGGTAAAAGAGTAAATTCCTAACCAGCCAATCCATCAAAACTACAACTGCAAAGAATTTTATCTGAACTCAGCATTAAATTTTACTAGAAAATAAATGAGATTAGTTGGATTATATTCCCAAAATACATATTAAAAAAATTCAATTTAAAATTCCCATGAGTCTCTCGTTCGTGCGCATGAGTAGTTGCATCAACGTAAGCAGTAACTTATGTCATACTTCGCGTCATACGAAAATTTTGTCATATTTCTTTCCCTAAAATTTTTCTTAATAAATACAAAATTTATAAATCGTTATCCTATATATATATATATATATATTCAGTTGTATGGATATGAGTTTATGACCCTGGTTTTCACGGTTTTGCGATTATTAGAAAAATGATCGCAAAAAGCGTGAAACCAGGGATCAAAAACTCATATCCATAAACTGAATATATATGTATATATATATATATATAAAGAAATATGTTGTAGTGGTTCCAACGAGAGAAAAAGTATGTATATTAAAAAGAAGAGGGGTGCCGCAAACGTTTTTGGTTGTAATGTGGATTTATTGAGAAAAAATATTATACTTTGTTTTACATAATTTCGACACGTGTTTCTGGTCTGGTCTCACAACCGTCTTCAGGTGAAATTAATTATTTTTACATATTATTAAAAATAATTAATTTTCTTCATGTTCAATATGGAATATTCTCGATATGCGATATATCGAAAATATTCCAAATTCTCGATATTTTTTATATCGAGAAATTCCACATTACACATGAAAAAAATTTTTAAAATATCACTTTTTAATATATATATATATATATATATATATATATATATATATATATATATATATATATA